GTGAGGGAGGTTTTTCCCGCCAAAGCCTCGTTTGGGGGCGGGCGGCACGGCGGCGGCGGCGGCCGCGCCGGCCCAACGGGGGGTTGATGTCGGCGTGTAATGTTTTATACATATTTATGGTTTCTGTGTTCTGTCTGATCGCATTAGGTCTGCTCACTCTCTTTCCTCCCCTAACGTAAGCCGCCGTCGCTGCCCCGGCCAGGCCCGTGATGTGCTGTGCTGCCCGAGAGCCGCCCCCGCCCCCCGCACAGCCACAAGTGGCTCGCTTCTCTCCGACTGTCATTCAGTCAGCCCCGTAGTACGTACGTTTTGGACACTCAAAAAAGAAGAACAAATAAAGAAATGGTTTCACAGCAACCCACCCGTATGGCCTGTTAAAGCATAATTTTGTCATATTTTCGTCATTAATGATATGACAAACCAATCACAAACCAACAACCATTAAAACTCAAAATAACGACGAAATAAATGGAAATAAATTCGTGTGAGTCTATTCGGCTTTGTCGTTATGACGTGTTTGTTTCGTCATTTATTTGTGCTGAAATCGGTCAATTTCACGACAAATTAATGACGAATTAATCTCGAAACAATGACAAGACTTCAAGCGGCACGAAAAAACGATTCGCGCTTCTCGCCTGGAGGTGGAATCGAACCACGAACTTCACCCACCGCAGGCCGGCACTGTATCCACCAGGCCACGGAGGAGACGTGCGGTAGGCAAGGTCGCCAGACCAGCCGTTGTTCTAGAGCGGCGAGTGGCGGCAGCAGCACGGGTGCGACGAGCTGCACCTCTGTGCTCGGAGCGACCTCATCTCTCACGTCTCCTCCGTGGCCTGGTGGATACAGTGCCGGCCTGCGGTGGGTGAAGTTCGTGGTTCGATTCCACCTCCAGGCGAGAAGCGCGAATCGTTTTTTCGTGCCGCTTGAAGTCTTGTCATTGTTTCGAGATTAATTCGTCATTAATTTGTCGTGAAATTGACCGATTTCAGCACAAATAAATGACGAAACAAACACGTCATAACGACAAAGCCGAATAGACTCACGAATTTATTTCGTCATTTATTTCGTCGTTATTTTGAGTTTTAATGGTGATTGGTTTGTCATATCATAAATGACGAAAATATGACAAAATTATGCTTTAACAGGCCATACGGGCATCCACTCTTCAGGTCAACAAAGCATGGTCCCAAAGACATGTCTCACTGGGAAACTGAGGAAACGTTTCTTTCGCAACCAAACCAGGAAACTTTTGGGGATGCAACCTGTTTGTGATGGACCTACCCTACTGCATGGGGTAGGTTGCATCAGGAAACGTTACCTGTCTTGGTCACATGATAAAACGTTCCCTCGGTAACATTAGTTTTTCCAGTAATACTGTCCGTCCCAGGCTATGTTCTCTGCCGTAAAAGACAAGCAATCTCCAAATTATGTATTTCTAAATATAAAATATCATCTGCAATGTGTTCTGCAGAGGCGAGCCCTCGTTTTCGACTCGGTTTTCGCCCTGGTTTCGTGCCCCGGGGGGACTGACTCGGCAGCATTGTTATTTGTTGTACCCGTTCTGATTGCGCGGGACGGCTAGGCGAGAACACAACCCGACCCGCGCATTATTTTGCGATAACGTCCACCCCGCGGGCCAATGACATGTGTAGCATTGTATTGCGCCGGCCTATTTGTATGACGCTGTTGTGTGTAATTTTGACAGTGTGTGGGGACGGCGCGGAGCGAGGGAGGGGGAGGCGAGGGTGGCGGTGGTGGCGGGCATGACGACGGTTGCAGCAGTCAAGTTGGCGAGGGGAGGGTGCGCGCCGCCGCGGAGGGG